TCAGGCATAAACGCTAAAGAAGCTCGAGCCTAATCTTTTGAGAGTTTGTGCCTAACCCTATTACAATACCACCCGTAATTTGTGAAAAAAAATGGCGGCGGCACTTAACTTACGCGGCGCCGCCGAAGTTAGGTGACTTTTGCCGCGTCGCGCGGCAAAAGTCAGCGGAAAAGCGGCAAAAGTCACCTAACTTTGTCGCGCAACGCCTAACTTTTTATAAAAAAAGACCTTATCTTGATTCAAAATTTATGAATTCTATATATAAGAGTACCATTCAACTCAGCTCGGCGAGGCGCATCTTCCAATATACGGATGTGCCTAGTTGTGGGATATAAGTTTCTTTCCTGGAATTTTAGTGTAAATGGACCATTCAGTGTGCTTATTCCAGAGGCTACGTACACATTCTATTGAGCACAGCAGAAATAGGGCAGGTATAGTTTAAGAGCTCGTTCTGCATGGATATATGTGAAACTGGGCAGCTCATTCTGCATGGATATGTGTGAAAGTGGGCTTTTCTCGGCGAAGTATGACGGGTCCCAAAATGCAGGAAGACAAAGGGAAATGGTTGGAAATCGCATGAGAAGCACATATCGCGGAATGCCGCGCGTGCTGTGCAATGTACAATACCACTCACAGAACGGGAATTGCGCGAAATTCCAGAAATTTCGCGATTCCGGATTATCGCAAATTATGCAGCGCCATAACTTCCTTCGGAATTAATATATTCTAAATTCGAAAGCAGCACTGTGTTCATCTCGTCAAGGCGAATCTTTCTACATACGTCATGTCATCTATATCTTGTTTTCAGTTTTCTCAAATTGTTCTGAGGAGGTCCCTTTGCAAGTATGTAACGCAGCGCCTATCCAACTTGAAAGCTTTCAGTAAGCACCATTCGATAGTGCTCTTCTTGTGCATTATAGTGCGCTAGTAAGCTGCCGCAGACTTCTTTTCAAAAGAGAAAAAAGCGTTGGTAAATTCTGGAAAAATCACTCGTTTCCAGATTCTACTCGCCGTAACTTTCTTTGGAGTGGATATTTTCTGAATCCGAAAAATGCATTGTGCTCAGCTCATCAAGGCAAATCTTTCGGTATGCAGAATGTCTTTGATATCTCGATTTCAGTATTCTCAAAACTTTCTGCGGACGTCTCTTCGCAAAGGTGTGAAGCAGCGCGTATTGCCCCCAGTACATTCAGAAAGAAATTTTCGATAGTACTTCTTTTGTAGATTATGGAGCGCTAGAAAGTAGCCGCACAATCCTTTTCAAAGGAGTTAGAAGGGCTGGTGAATTCTGGAAAAATCATGTCCTTCTAAATTTTTCTCAACGTAACTCTAAAATATGAAGCTCTCTTGCTAAGCAGATGTGATTTTCGTAACCAGCAGGTCGGATAACCCTTAAGTGCAAGTTTTCCAAGATTTTCAAGTAATTTCATTTTTTCTCGTTTTACGCTTTGAAGCTGGCCGATGGATTTTGGTCAAAATGTTCATGCTCTTAAATTGTAAGGAAAGTTCGCTTATAGAGGTTTTCGAACACGCTCTTTACGAAAATCGTGGTCTTTGAGGATTACAGGGTCTTTTTGGTGAGATACGGTGAGGTGACTGTAACTGCATCACGAAAGTGCGTAAATTGGCCCGCACTTCTCGCGTATCTGTCAGCAACCTTGCCTGCTTGCTTTTCTCAGTCAAAGTTACTAGGAACTGCGCTACCGAATGGTGCATGAATCAGGCTCCAGTCTGTAAAAATCACCGAGTTACGAGCCTATGAAAACACGTCCTCATGAATTTTGCCCAAAATCTAAAGATCGCAAATCTCGTCGAAATTCCACCATGAGCGCTTGTATGACACTCGCATTGCGGATACTGTGTTCGCTTCGCCCAAAAACTCCCACTGTATTGAATATGGTACTTGCATATGCTTCAGCTGCTCAGTTGAATATCAGAGCTATTTCAGTGGCTAGAACTCAAACTACTAAATCTAACACAATAAGATCCATTAAGGACGCGAAAGATTTTGATCAGCGTGTTGTACAAGCGCTCATGGTGGAATTTCGACGAGATTTGCGATCTTTAGATTTTGGGGCAAAATTCATGAGGACGTGTTTTCATAGGCTCGTAACTCGGCGATTTCTGTAGAGTGGAGTCTGAGGCATGCACCATTCGATGGCACAGTCCCTAGTAACTTTGACTGAGAAAAGCAAGCAGGCAAGGTTGCTGACAGATACGCGAGAAGTGCGGGCCAATTTACGCACTTTCGTGATGCAGTTACAGTCACCTCACCGTATCTCACCAAAAAGACCCTGTAATCCTCAAAGACCTTGATTTTTGTGAAGAGCGTGTTCGAAAACCTCTATAAGCGAACTTTCCTTACAATTTAAGAGCATGAACATTTTGACCAAAATCCATCGGCGAGCTTCCAGAGCGCAAAACGAGAAAAAATGAAATTACTTGAAAATCTTGGAAAACTTGCACTTAAGGGTTATCCGACCTGCTGGTTACGAAAATCACATCTGCTTAGCAAGAGAGCTTCATATTTTAGAGTTACGTTGAGAAAAATTTAGAAGGACATGATTTTTCCAGAATTCACCAGCCCTTCTAACTCCTTTGAAAAGGATTGTGCGGCTACTTTCTAGCGCTCCATAATCTACAAAAGAAGTACTATCGAAAATTTCTTTCTGAATGTACTGGGGGCAATACGCGCTGCTTCACACCTTTGCGAAGAGACGTCCGCAGAAAGTTTTGAGAATACTGAAATCGAGATATCAAAGACATTCTGCATACCGAAAGATTTGCCTTGATGAGCTGAGCACAATGCATTTTTCGGATTCAGAAAATATCCACTCCAAAGAAAGTTACGGCGAGTAGAATCTGGAAACGAGTGATTTTTCCAGAATTTACCAACGCTTTTTTCTCTTTTGAAAAGAAGTCTGCGGCAGCTTACTAGCGCACTATAATGCACAAGAAGAGCACTATCGAATGGTGCTTACTGAAAGCTTTCAAGTTGGATAGGCGCTGCGTTACATACTTGCAAAGGGACCTCCTCAGAACAATTTGAGAAAACTGAAAACAAGATATAGATGACATGACGTA